CACGGGGGGGGGTCCGGTTCCAACCCCCCCCCTCCAAGCGACCACAGAGCGCTCTTTCGATGGTCGGAAAATCGCGCCGCATCGCCGATGCATCGGCGATGCACTGGTGACGTCGGCGATGCATCGGCGACGGAGGCAGGAAGAAAACCGGGCTCCACATCGAGCCGCATCGCCGATGCGTCGGCGATTCGGCACGATCCTCCGACCCCATCCAGTCGGACCCCACCTGGGAGGCATCGGAGGTTGGGGGGTGAGATCGCAGTGGAACGGAGACCCCCAACCAGGAAATCGATTTGTTTCGCTCGTGTCGCGCGTGCGGGCGAGGCGAAGCTGCGTGGGCGCGCGAGAGGAATGAACCCGCCGTTGCTAGGGCGAACTCGAGACAAATGATTCTCCCCCTCCTGCCCGTCCGGCGAAGGCCCTCGGTGTCCCGCGGTGTCCCGAGGTGTCCCGTGGTGTCCGCCGTTGCTAGGGCAAAATCAAGACAAATGATTCTCCACCTCCTGCCCGTCCGGCGGTGGCTCGCGGTGTCCCGCGGTGTCCCGCGGTGTCCCGTGGTGTCCCGTGGTGTCCGCCGCTGCTAGGGCGAAGTCAAGACAAATGATTATGCCCCGCCCGCCCGTCGGTCCGTCCATCCAGCGGTGGCTCGTAGTGTCCCGCGGTGTCCCGTGGTGTCCCGTTGAGTGAGATCGATAGTGAGATCGATAGTGAGATCGATAATGAGATCGATGTGGTGCCCCGAGGTGTCCCAAAAAGGGAGATCGATAGTGAGATCGATAGTGAGATCGACAAGTGTCCCGTAAGGTCCTGTGGTGTCTCGTTGAATGAGATCGATGGTGAGATCGATACTGAGATCGATGTGGTGCCCCGGGGTTTCCCGTGGTGTCCCAAAAAGTGAGGTCGATAGTGAGATCGACAGGTGTCCCGTGGTGTCCCGTGGTGTCCCGTTGAATGAGATCGATAGTGAGATCGATAGAGAGATCGATATTGAGATCGACAGGTGTCCCGTGGTGTCCCGTGGTGTCCCGTTGAATGAGATCGAGAGTAAGATCGATAGAGAGATCGATAATGAGATCGATGTGGTGCCCCGGGGTGTCCCGTGGTGTCCCGTTGAGTGAGATCGATCGTGAGATCGATAAAGAGATCGACAGGTGTGGCGTGGTGTGCCCCTGGTTTCCTGTGGTGTCCTGTTGAGTGAGATGCATAGTGAGATCGATAGTGGGATCGATAATGAGATCGATGTGGTGTCACGAGGTGTCCCGTGGTGTCCCGTGGTGTCCTATGGTGCCCCTTTGAGTGAGATCGATAGTGAGATCGATAGTGAGATCGATAGTGAGATCGATAGTGCGACCGATAGTGAGATCGAGAGGTGTCCCTCGGTGTCCCATGGTGTCCCGTGGTGTCCCGTTTAGTGAGATCGATCGTGAGATCGATAGTGAGATCGACAAGTGTCCCGTGGTGTCCCGTGGTGTCCCGTTGAGTGAGATTGACAGTGCGATCGATTGAGTCAGATGTCGGTCGTGGTACAAATCCAACACAGGGGGAGGAGACCATAACGGACGTCTCAAGGTCTTCGTCCTGGGCCTCAGAATCGAACCCTGGGCTTGCCGTGGGGAGCGCGCTGGCCAGAATCGAGGTGGATCCAGCTGCTGCCAAGGGGGTGCCCCCAGAGGGCCCATAAGGCCCACGAGCATACTCAATGTATGAGTGTTTAGTCGTAGCGGCGAGGATCCACGTCGCGTTCGAAGGCATCCGAGGGAAACAACGGGGCCTGATTGGGCCCAACAAGCGAGAAGGAGAGAGAGACACAGAGCGCGCGGAAGGGGAAAGGAGCACGCTCAGGGCATGAAATTGCTCAACAAAAAAAGCCTGCTCCTCCTCCACACCCACCCTTCGAGATCTGGCCGAACGGAGGAGGCTCGGATGCGCGGCGCGGCCCTCCTCCACTGGGGCGGGAGGCGCTCCTCGTCGTCCGACAGGATGGTGACAATGGTGACCTGGCCCGCTGCCGCACACGGGACGGCCGGCAGGTGGTGGCCAAAGAGACGGGGGGGGTTCGGGCCCCGGGCCCTCACATATCGAGCCAGCTCGAAGCATGAAGCAGGAAGGTGGGGTCTGGGGCTCTGGTCCGCGATTTGGGCGATGCTGCATGTTTTTCGCAGCGTCGGATCGCAGGGGAGGAGGCGGAGGAGGTACGCGAGGTGGGGAAGGGAGGAAGATAGGGGGGCGCGGCAGAGGTACTGGGATCGCCCTCGACACAGACACAGGCGTGCCTGGGGTGATCAGATGAAGCAAACTCGCAGTCCGCCGCCGTGCCCCTTGGCGCGATGAGGCGTGGCCGAATGCGAAGTGCTTTCTGGTGGGGCTTCCGCAAGTCTTCTGAGGGGCCCAACCCCTCCACATCACACTCAGCGCGTGCACCAGCCCCGCCCCCCTTCAGAAGCTCCCTGGGCTGCCCTGTTGCCTCCCAACGGCTCTCGAAGGGTCTCTCTACGGCTTACAGGGCGGCCCAGGAGCGCAACCGAGGCTGCCATGATGGCGCTACCTTTGCCTCAAGTCCCAGGAAGCGCAGAATAGGTCCCCAGAGGCCTTCAAGAGGCCGCGAAACACTCCCAAGGCGCTCTCAAGGAGGCTCTTCGGGAGGCCAAACATATTCAGATCGTGTGGCTCCCTGCTTCTCGCTTGCTACGCTCCTTCGGTCGAAGATCGGTCCACTTGCGGTTTTCGAATGCCCAACGGGGGCCCACTGAGAGCAAGAGGATGGCCTAAGGAGGTCCCTAGACGGCCCCAAATGACCCCACGACGGCCCGAAAAGACCCTCCAGGCTGCCAGCAAATTCCCAAGATGGCCAAAGGGAGCCCCAAGACGACCCCCAAGACGGAGACAAGCGACCCACAAGAGCCCACGACAGCCCACAAGAGCCCATCTGGGCCGTCTTGGGCCAAGACGGCCCAGACATGCACCATGAGAGCTCCGCAAGACCAACTCTGGGCCATGATCCGACCCCAAGCGCGCCACGTGGCATGAGCATTGTCCTGGAAAGGGGCATCGCGGCTGCGAATTCTGGACGCACGCTGGACCAATGCCGGACCAATGCCTGACGATCCGCCTGGGCAGCAGCCGTGTCGGCCATGGGAGGAGCGAGGCCGCGAGCAGGGCGTGGTCGGACCAGGGCCGTGGGCGAGCGTGGGCGGTTGGCGGGGCGGCAGAGGGGCCCCTGCACCGGCGGCCACCGAGAGAGGTGGACGGTCGCGGGGGGGGGGAGCCATGGCCGAAGGGAGGGCGCGGCAGGGCGCGACGGGGGCGGGGGAGCGGCTGCGGGCCCCTCGTAGACACACACACACACACACACACACACACACACACCACCCCCCTGACTCCGAAGGCGAACACGACGGAGGCACCGAGCTAACCCCCGACAACGCGGGCGACAGCGACCAACCCAGGGCAACGTCGGCGACAACGACGACTTTAGCTCTCCTTGCCCTGCCCCCCCCCGCCCCTGAGGACAGCACAACCCACCGCCACCCCAAGCCAGGATCCCCAACTCCCGACCTGGTGATCCAAGGGGTCCTGGCTGGGGGTGGTGGTGGTCTTTTAGATCCCTTGGGGCCAAAAACCACCCCTACCCACAGCCAGGACCCCCTGGATCACCAGGTCGGGAGTGTGAGTCCTGGCTGGGGATGGGGTTGGATTGTTCTCCCCTGTCTCCGCGCACGGCACGCCAACATGGATTAGGGATCTGGCGCATGGGCGCCAAATCCACGGATCGGGGAATGTACCCCTAAAAGATGGGACCAGTGCCGCCTCTTCTGGCGAGGAGCGCATCGATTTCGCATGGAAACGGGACCCGCCGCTCATCCACATTGCCACAATCCATGCTCACGTTTCCTTAAGTCCCCTCTCCCGTCCTCCCCCTGTCCCCCCGGCTCCCTCCTCCCCCTTGCCCTGCCCTCCCCCGTCCCCCCGCCCTCCCCTCTCCCGTAACCCTCCCCGAAGGCCGTTCACGGCGACAGCAAAACCGAAAGCCGACCGAGCCGACACCGAAACCGAAACCACACGAGATCGACAGGCCGCAACCAACCTAGCAGGGCGCAGCAATGCGGCAACGGCACAGCAACCGACAGAACCGACGGACCGAGCGCAACCGACTGCAGCGCAGCCGAATCGACCGAACCGCGAGCCGCCCGGCGTCGGAGGAGGTCGGAGGCCGGTCCGCGGGGCGGAGGAGGCCCGGAGGCCGGGCCCGCCCAGCACTGCACCGCCCTCGGCCCACGCGCCGGAGGCCGGTCCGCGGGCGGCAGGGGCCTGGCAGCTCCTCGGGAGCCCGGCGCCGCTCAGGGCGGCGGGGCGGCGCGGCTCCTGGCAGCGCGGCCCCCCTCCGGGGCCGCCCCGCCCCCCGAGCCCCCTCCTGCTTGGCGGGGAGCTCGCCATCGCTCGGGCGCCTGTTCCCCGGGGATGTCTGTTCGGCTGCGCGCGGTTGTGTGTTCGCGAGATGACTCGAGATGCTCCTCGATGGTCCACGCCGGGCGAAATTGCACACGTCCGAAGGATGCCAAGGGAGGACGAGAAGGCGCGTGGGGAGAGGGAAGGCAGGGAGCGAGGGGGGGGAGGGGGAGAGAAAGAGAGAGAGAGAGAGAGAACAACAAAAAGGGGAATGGGGAGGAGGAGAAGGAGGAGGGCAGGGAGAGGGGAACTCCCTCCCTCCCTCCTCCCATCCCTCCATTCCTCACCTCCGCCCCCGCCCCCGCCTCCGCCTCCGCCTCCGCCTCCCCTCACCTCCCTCCCCCCGCCTTCCCTCCCCACCCCACCTCCCCTCACCTCCCCCATCCCTCACCTCCGCCTCCGCCTCCGCCAACCCTTCACCTCCCCCCTCCCCTCACCTCCCCTCGCCTCTCCTCCCCCCTCGCATCACCTCCCCACCCCCTCACCTTCCCTCCCCTCGCCTCCCTCGAAGCTCCTCCTCGGAGCGGTCCACCCGCAGCACCCACCCAGCGGCGTCAGCCGCCGCGGCCGCCGATGTGGCGGCCCGGTGGCCCTGGGCGGCAGGCAAGAGGCCAAGGGGGGGCACGAGTGGGGGGGGAAACAAACTCCAGAGGGCAGGGGGGAGAGCAGGGGAGGGGAGGAGGGGGGGAGGGGAGGGAGGGAGGGAGGGACGGAGCGAAGGAGGGAGCAAGCGAAGGAGGCAGGGGGAGAGAGGGAGCGGAGGGGAGGGAGGGGAAAGAGGCAAGCTAGGTGCGCTCGCGTCATATCTGACATCCTACCCCTCCCTCCCATCCCTTACCATGGCCTAGATCCCCTCTCTACTCGCACAGTCGGATGTCGAGCAGGGCAATGATCCCGAAAGGGTACGCGATGCATTGTAGAGCACGGCATGGCATGGCGTAGAAGAGCACCGCAAAGCGTAGTATCAAAGCATTGCATTGCATTGCATGCCGGCATGGCACGGGAAATGACGCCAGCGCTGCAGCGGGAGCACGAGTCGAAACGAGCGGAAGCGCGGAAATGAGGCCAGCGCTGCAGCGGGAGCACGATTCGGAACGAGCGGAAGCACGGAAATGAGGCCAGCGCTGCAGCGGGAGCACGATTCGGAACGAGCGGGGCCCGAAAATGAGGCCGGCGCCTCAGCGAGAGCAGCATTTTGGAAAAAATGCAAGCGAAAACCCAACTCCGGGGAATCCTGTGTGTAAAAAACAATACGCGGGGGGGGGGGCTAATACTTTCAAACCGTCATCAGGGGAAGAGGGAGAGTAGTATTCATATTGAGTAATTATAAAGGAGGGAGATGTAGGGGGCGGACAGAAGGGGGGGAGGGGAAGGGGGGAGGGGAAGGAGCGGGTGGATGGGTGGATGGCTGGAGGGGGTTGGGGGAGAAGGAGGGGCGGGAGGGCGGAGGGGAGAGGGGAAAGGGGGGCCCTCGAACCTCTGGGAACGCAAGAGCCACACGGCCCTCTTGCACCGCACGAGTGGAAACGATGTACGAGAGACTGCTTCATCACGCTGGAATTCCGCAAGTCAACGGCTGCAAGTGTTCAGCTGCACACGAGTGGCAACAACCGCTGAACATGCACGTCCGTAGCCCGTACAAATTTACCGCGTTCGGCCATTGCTGCACGAACCGTGCTCGATCCATGCGCGATTCCCAACTTTCTGAAACAAGTTCGCGCGAACTCCATCCGGCGCTGAACTGGCTGGGCTAGAGTTGTGCTGGGCAAGGAATGGCCTGGATTGAACTGGGCTGGACTGAAATGTAATCTCGCTTGACATGATTCTTCTGGACTGGGGCAAGCTGGACAGGACCTCGACTTGAACAGAACTTGGGCTTATGTTTTTCCCTGTCCCCCCAACCCTCCACTTGTTTGGGTCCTCGTTTTGAATGGGGCACTGCTCGCGCGTCCTTCTCCTCCTACCTTCTCCTTTTACCTTGCCTCTCCACACTCTCCCCTGACTCTCCCCTGCACCCTCCTGCTCCTCCTCCCTTCTCCTTACCTCTCCCCACTCCCTCTCGCGCTCTCTGGAGGGCAGCCACCTGCGCAACTGTCGCCGCTTTTGCGGGCTCCTGAAAGGTCCAGCGGAGTGGGGGGCATGCAGATCCAGACCAGCCCTCGCGCTCCCTTGGGGGGCTGCTGACTGCGCAAGTGTCGCCGCTTACAGGAGACTGCCAACTGCGTCACTGTCGCATTTTCGTAAGTCAGGGCTCCCCAAAAGGCCGCAATAGGCACCCAAGAGGCCTTCAGAGGCCCCAGGAAGCTCCCAGGAGGCTCCCAAGGGGCTCCCAGGAGGCCTCCTCCTCCTCCTCCTCCTCCTCCTCCTCCTCCTCCTCCTCCTCCTCATGGGAAAGCTTAGAAAACTTGTCAGAAGGCCCAAGGCCTTCCGAGCCTCCTGAGTGGGTCCGCCCCCTCAGGCTCGCCGCCGAGGTCCAGACAGAGCCCCCTCAGGCTCGCCGCCGAGGTCCAGACAGAGCCCGCCGAGACGAGCCCCGCCCTGTCCAGGGAGCAAGCGTGGTGGAAACGGGCCCTGAGGAGGGAAACGGATCCTGGACCCTGGTGCGTTCCCCGAGGACGAGATTTTCATCCTGGGTGGTCGCTGACCGTCCCGGGGACCGGCCCCGAGAGCCCGAAAACGATGGAAAACCTCAGGACCCGTTTCCCCCATGGCGAAGGAGGTGGCCCACATGGGGCGAATCGTCCACGGGCGGAAGCCAGAGCTCGACGGCGGCATCGAGGGCAGCGGCGGCGGCGGCGCTCACGCACAACGTGGCCTTATGTGGCCCTGGGGCGGGGCCAGGAGGCCAGGTCGGCCAAGCCCTCCTCGGACGCGGACGGAGAAGGTTGGCGGCGCGCACTGGGGGGTAGGGGGCGGGGGGAAGGCAGGAGGCTGCTTCCTAGAGGGCGCTGGCTCTACATCTATAGATAAGCCCCCGCGACTTCTCGGAAGCAGGGGTGCTTCTAAGAAGCCTTCTCCTCTCCCCCCACCCCCCTCTGCACGTGGTCGGAAGGGGGGGGCAGCGAGAACTGTCATTCTTTTGCAAAAAGGAGGCACGAGTAAGGAGCGACGAAGCCCTATTGGGGCCTAAACTGCGCCCAGATGCGCGATGAGCGCCAAGGGAGAACCCATCGAAGGGAACACTGAGCACGTTCCGAAGTCAAAGTAAACCTTGTCCCAAAGTTCTGACTGCACAGTTAAGTTATAGCCTTCCTTCAAGAAAGGCACCTCCTGTGGGAAACGACGCTGCGCCCAGATTGTCTCCAGGAGCATAGAAGGAGAACCCAAAGACTGGCCCGAGGAAATCCGAGCCCCTCTCGAGATCAGACTGATGCTCGTTCCAGGCTTTTGACTGTCCTTGGGGGGGACAGCGGGAGGAGGCGCGGGGCAGGGCGTGCCCGAGGCGCGTGGCGGGCCCGAGGCTCGGGCCTTCCGAAACAGGGGCTGAGGCTGCCTCGGGTTCGGGCAGGCCTCGGAGTCAAGACTTCTCCGAGACCGGTGACCCCGACAGGTCCGTGAGCTCTTCGGGTCAACGGGGACCGCCGAATAACAGAGGATCCCCACCAAGGGGGAGACAGAGATGAAAAATGGAGGGGGACGGGGAGGCCCTCTCTTCGTCCTCCTCCATCTACCCATCCTTCCTCGTCCCACTTTCCGTATCCCTTCCTCCACCATTCTCTTGCCCTGATCAAACAACAACACCTGCGTCAAAGCTAACCAGGGTTGCCCACCTCAGTTGGTTGTTAACTACGTGGTAGATCCAAACCAGTGTCAATCCCTAAGGAGTGGCGAAGTTTGGCCTGGACCAGCGCCCAAGCTCAGGCCAACCAGCACAAGAACGTCCGTTCTGGCTAACCCCCGTTCGGGATGACACCCGTCTCCAGCTCACAGATGCTCATCCCTCCCCCCATCCTCGCTCCACATCACCCGTTCCACCTGCACCTCCCCCCCCGCCCCCTCCTCCCAATACAGCCGAGGTTCCACCCCCCTCCGCGAAACCAGACCAGACCAGAAACGAGGAGAGGGGAGGAGGAGGAGGAGGAGGAGGCCTCTGGGAACCCCTTGGGAGCCTGGACCAGCGCCCAAGCTCAGGCCAACCAGCACAAGAACGTCCGTTCTGGCTAACCCCCGTTCGGGATGACACCCGTCTCCAGCTCACAGATGCTCATCCCTCCCCCCATCCTCGCTCCACATCACCCGTTCCACCTGCACCTCCCCCCCCGCCCCCTCCTCCCAATACAGCCGAGGTTCCACCCCCCTCCGCGAAACCAGACCAGACCAGAAACGAGGAGGAGGAGGAGGAAGAGCCCGGGGATTCCGCACGGGCCTGCCGCCTATTATCAATCGTTCTCACTCCGCCTAAGTAGTTGCTTTTCACCCGGGGCACGCTAAAGACTGTGCACCTAAGGGTCCGCTCAACGCAAAAGGAGTCTGGGGTCTGCCCGTGGCCCTTTTCCGCGCAGCGCATGGCCGTGGCGACGGCAAAGGACGCCACCGCCGTCGTGCCTCCGCGCGACCGCCACGGTGGACGGCGCCTGCGCACGGAGGTGCCCCGCTCCGCGGGGAGCCGGGCGGGCGCTCAGAAGGGCTCAGCGCGCGACCGGCGGGCTGCTCGGCGAGGACGCCCCCAAGGCCCCGCCCGCTCAAAGCTGGCGCGCACGGCAGACCTCGAGCCGCGCCCCGCTCCGCCGTCGCCCGTGCCAGCGTCGTCGCCGCCAGCGTCGTCGCCGCCGCTGGCGGCGTCGGCGCCTCTGGCGTCGTTGTCGGCGTCGCCGCAGCCTTCGGCGTCGTCGCCTTACTCGACGGCGCCGCCGCCGCCGTCGCAACTGTCGTGGTCAGCGCCGCCGCTGCTGTCGCCGTCGTCGTAGTCGCCGTCGCTGCTGCCGCCGCCCTCGTCAACGTCGACTTCACAGTCCTCGTCCTGCGCCTCCACCAATTCCTCCGCCTCCAACTCCTCCTTCACCTCCCTCCTTCGCCTTCGCCACTTCCTCCTCCGCCTCCCACTCATGCTAATAATAAGAGTAATGCGAATATGAATGACAATCACACTGATTTTCAGAATAATAGTAATAAGAATAATAAGTAAACTAATAATGATCATGATAATACTAATAATACGAATAATACGAATAATACTGGAAAAATAACAATGCTGAGAATGAAACTAATGCTCATCCTCATGATTGACATTAAAATCGTCATCATAGGAATGACAAGCGTAACAATGTTGATACGAACCTCCATCATCATATCATCAGCCTTATCCTCAGTATCGTCATTCGCCTCCTCCTCCTCCTCCTCAGAGTTGTCTCGCTTCTCCATTCTGATTCACCTCATCCTGTTACTCCGTCGCCCTCCCACCACCAAAAGCTGCACCGCCATCTTGGCTCATGGCTGCATGTGGCAATGATCTGATCCTCTCCTCGCGCGGGTGGTCCAATCACCCATGGGAGAGCTGGGTTGCCCCAGACAGATTCCAAGCCATGGCGCCTCCAGCTGGAGGAGACGAGAAGATGCGGGGGGGAGAAGAAGCTCCCGACTTGGGCGCGTGCA